ATACTTCGAAATTCACGTTAGTACTACTCTTCTTGCTGATGGCGTAACTTTCTGGACACAGAGAGTGAAAGAGAAAGATAAGTAATTTTAAAATCCATCACTTTGAAATGATATAGTTCTGCTGTTGTAGGTGCAAAAGTACATCGAATTGAAGCTCAATTCACTGCACAATGCTACCATAGAGGAATATTTTGAGGAAGTCACATCCAATGTCATCATTTTATTCGCCGGGTTAGCTCTCCTGCACTACAGCTTTTAAAAATTCATCGATTTAAAATGATGCTTTAAAATTTGCACGAAAAAATAATAATAGGACAAATGTGGAACATATCAAGAATTCCAAAACTACTTGAATACTCAGTACAGGGGTACCTAGTATCAATGATATTACTGGCGTTTTCCTATACACCGAATGCAGCTACGCCAAATAATAAATGACCAACACACGGGCTGCCCATGCGAAGACGCGTTTTTTGCATAGCTCCCCGCAGATTTTTGTCGGTATCGGCACTGGTTTTTCCGGTAGATGCTTCTAACTAAAAAAATTTCACACTGACCGTCAGAAATGTCAGAAAACATCCCCTCAAAATTTCAGTCTTCTAGCTTTTTACGTTCTCAAGTTAGCAACTTACCCGGAAGAAACTTTCACGGGCCCATACGTAGGTCTCACGCTTACCCGCGGGCAGGTTTGAACTCCTTAATACCCACTTGGACATGGAACATCCCCCCTAAGATTTCAGCGTTCTAGCTTCTCAGACCCCCGAGTTTTGAACTTACTCCAAAAAAAACTTTGGCGGGCCCGTACGCGGGTACTACCCGGGTGATGGCGCCCATTTTGTGGATTGGAGCCAGCACGTGCATGTAGATTAAGATCCACAATTTCAGCCCTGCAGCTTTTATAGATCTTGAGATGAAAGTGCGTGACAGGCGCACACATAGACAACTCCTTGTCAATATGCGTTTTTGCATTGCATAATTACAAAAAACGCAAAATAAAATGTCAGGTCAAAATCATAAATTATTTGCTTCCAGTCTCAACCACTCTTATGAAATGCCGAGACACTCGAAAGTAGCTCGAATAGTAGCAAACGCCAGCCGTAGTCAGACGCTGACGGAACTGTAAATGGTTCACTAGGGTTGCTTATAAGTAAGCTGATAGCGGGTTTGTCTCACTGGCATATTCTAGTATCAATTTGCCATCGAAACGAATGAATGAATCGTGAAGGGGCAAAATGATTCTCCAACTATCGGCGTAAAACTTTTACCCAACAACAGCGCTACTTCCCGTTGCATCATACCTGTCAACAAAATAAAATATTTTTCTTAAAATCAACTTAACTTACTTATGGTGGAAATCATTGGTTATTCAGGTGAACGCATTTCTTTAAGCATTGCAGAAAGGAAGAAGCGCGGCAGATATTCGAAGCAGTGCATATGTTATCGACGCGAGGCAAGGTTTGCATTGTGAATGAGTTGGCCGCCAGCGTTTCCAATCTTCCCACAGGTAATGGCTGTTGATTTACTTGCTCCGTGCTACGTTAGTGTTCAAGATTAAGTTTAATGCTAGAGCTGGGAAAGTCTTTCCGCAAATGGGTAAAGCTTATAATTGTCAGGCGCAGGTATAAGTTGATGGCTGTTTGAAAATTTTGTATATTTTTACTTTGCAACATTTACCTGCTTGCACATGCATTAATGATTATCCAACTTTTCTATTTACTTATATTAAAATAGTTGGAAATTATATTTCATCCTAAAAGATTAAAAAGTTTGTAAAAAAATGTACAAAAAATGTAAACCATGAAAAAATATACAACCCAGGCTGGAATGCACCAGGCTTGCCAGTGCTATCGTACATTTTTGCACCAGAACTGAAGTACTCAGTTCGTTCACAGTACGAATGTCTACTGCTTTGCACCTACCTTTTGCGTTCACTAGTGTAGACCACCATAAATTTTGCATAAAGTAAATGAAGGATTTCCTTTTAACGGCGTTCTTTGGAAGCAATTTCCTCGCCAAAAATTTTAAGTGCACATGCGTGAGAACCATGCATATCTGGAGGATTTGAAATATTAAGTTTGTATTTGGACAGCGAACATTCCCGCAAAATTTCAGCCTTCTGGCTTTCCTGGTTCTTGAGTTGAAAGTGGGTGACAAAAAGTGCGAACATACACACACACACACAGCCTTTTGCCAATACGCGTTTTTATTGCATTTGCGTACATGCAAAACCGTATAAAAAAATACATTGAAAACAAAAATAAAAGCAAGCGATGAAATAGATTTCTGAGTAGAAAAAGTTAACCCTAAAATGATAAATTTATAAATATATTATCAACAACTAGCAATCAAGAGTTATTATCCACTAGAAGTGAAAGTGCGATGTAAGAATTTTATTACTTCGAGAAGAAAACGCTGGCTATCCAATATTATCAGGTACTTATTATCTAAATAATTTGCAGCACTTTCTTATGTGTTTTTGTCAAGCAGGTTGCCTGTCAGCAAGACTGCGTCAAAATCCGCTGCGAGCGCTCCGTGAAGCACTGACAGTAGTGAGACACGGACTCAGCTTCCTGTCGAGTCGTGAGGTGCAACAGCCCCAGCTTTGTGAGAAAGTCTCGCCGGATAGCGAATGGATCAATGGATTCGGAGACCAATTTTACAAGTGAGTAATTCTTTTCTTTTGAAGTGAAACCAGAGATTTTGCATGAACGCAACACTGAGCAGATTCTACACGGAAATGTTATCTGATAAATTTGGCATCGGTACAACATTTATGAACGGCGAAATTAACTGGCGGCCGTAGTTCTTGGATTAAAAAAAAAAAAAAACTTTTGTCGATATGACGATTTCTCGTCAAAGCTACTTCTATCAAGTCGGCGAAAGTTTTACCGACAAGTAATCACTTCGATAAAAGCAGTGCTTTTTGGGTAGAGGGTGGAGGGGGGGGGGGCAATTTAATTCCTGGTTCACTCGCTTGCTACTGCTACTAATTCAAGTTCAAATGAATGATGGAGCTACGATTGGAAAAATGCGACAAGCGTCGAATCAGGCACTCGTGCTATAGTATCATAATTTCTCAAGCCACTACACTACTGAGA